ATATATATATATATATATATATATATATATATATATACATATACTTTGAGAAATGTTTTTAATAGTTAAAATTTCCCAACTGAATATTTTTTTAGAAGGAGTTTTGCTTTACTACACAAGCTATCATTAATTATCTTAGTTTTTAAATTATTTGTAGAAATACGTAAGGTCTATTTGTACCTCCCCATATAAATACATTAATTTCAACATATGAATGCGTATACATTAAATTGTTGCACGCCCATGAAAATGCATAATATGTATTTGAAATATAAGATAAATATTGTTTAAATGTATCTTTTTTTAAAAAAGACATGATTAAAAGAAGGATGCCATAAAAATAAAATTTTAAGTTTGTAAAATTACTTCTAATGATAAATGCAAAGATTAAATTTACCTTCATTTGTATTATCGGTACAGGTAATGCAATAACCAAAACACCCATAAGGCAGCATAAAGCGCCTATTAATCGTCCTTGTATAGTCTCCGGTACAACGTCACCGTATCTACGATGTAGTAATAACAAATATTTATAACAGCTTATAAAAATACACTTATTTTTAAATAATTATAAAATTAATGTACTTATTAATTATGGAATTTGTTTTAAAGAATTAAATTTATTAATATGATGTTGGGTTATATGAGCTCCTTAAGCGAAAATTGGAATATTTATAAAATAATTATGCTGGATCCGAAATTATTGCGAATAAACAATTTTTAGAGATAATATTCATGATCTACTTAGATATTTGGGCACCTGAAATTTTTTCTTAAAATACAGAGGTTTCTAAAAAGTACTCATATTACCCAGACTTGGTCAAATGAGTACTTTAAATTAGCTCAAAAAAATACCTACCTGATTACGAGGATTACAAGGATGTCCCCTTTTTTAGCCAATTTTTAATTCCTCCTTTTTAACTCAACCCTTTCCACTCTCTTCCCTATTTGGATGACGTCCTTATGGATGGCCCCAAAGTGATTTGAGACATCTGTTATTAACAATACCTTTTTTAAGCAGCTTGATAAAAAATCATTAGTTATCTATTAAGGAAGATGAATGATTTGTTATTTTTGTAGGTTTATTTATTATAGGTATTTTTTCCGTTTCAAATAAGTCGTTGTAAAATTTTTTTATGTTTTGGTTTTTATAGGGCTGTGGAGTCGGAGTTGCGGAGTTGCGACAATTTTAGCGGAGTTGGAGTCGGAGTTAGAGTCGCTAAAAAATATCGCGACTCCGACTCCGATAGTAATATTTCTTGGTATTGCACGTGCATGTACAAAACATTCAATTAACCTTATGTTCATACTAAACCTCAAAGAACGTTGCATAAATTTGTCAAAAAAAAAATTTCAATTTATTGCGCAATATTTTTTAAAGAAATCAAAGAATTTTTCAAAAATTTTCCTTTGGAGTTGGAGTCGTAGTTGGAGTTAGAGTCGGAGTTGTACTCAAAAAATTTCAACACCTGAAATTTTTTCTTAAAATACAGAGGTTTCTAAAAAGTACTCATATTACCCAGACTTGGTAATATGAGTACTTTAAATTAGCTCAAAAAAATAACATTAAGTAAAAAAATACCTACCTGATTACGAGGATTACAACTAAATTTTGTTGATTTTTGCGACTTTTCGTTTTAAAATAATTGTTCGTTTTAAAATAAATATGTTAAAATAAAATTGTTCGTTTTAAAATAATTTTACAAAAATTTTTGTACGTTATAAAATGATTACCTTTATCAAGCTAAACACTGAGAAAAGAGATTTCTGGAAAAAGCAATATACCTTCAAAATAAATTAAAACATCTGGGTTACCAATGGGATAACAATACTAAATTGCAACATTCCAAAAAACAAATTAAAATAAGCGTTTATCTCAATTTCAGTCGGTTGCAATAGCTCGACAATCAACAGTAGGATTCGTTACTGCCAGCCGGCAACAATAATCCATTTGTACAATACCTTAACTGCGCCGAAGCTTACTTATGGTCTTGAGCTATGCAACTATAATATTAGTTTTCTTAGCAAAATAGATGCTGCTGGAAGAGCAGTGTTGAAAAATTTTTTCTGTATCTCGAAGTACAGTAAAAATTAACTGCATCAGTTTTTTAAAATAGAGGATATCTCGACTATTCTGCTTATGAACAAAATCTTTTTATCAGGCTGTTGAAAAATTAAACGCTATTTACTGATAATTAACCGACTACAGGCAATACAGAATAAAAAATTCTTCACAAATGAAGTAATTAAAGTACACACTTGGTTTAAACTTCGTCCAGTTCATGATAAATTGCAAAAATTAAATTCACGCAACCTATTTTATTATAAGTTATTTTACCTGTAATTAATTGTCGGGTCATAAAGAGAAAGTATAAAAATATTTAAAAATCCTTCCACATTTCAAAATAAATGTTTTGACTATAAATTTTAAAAGACATCATTAAAGAGTTTAAAATATAATTAAAATAAAACTTCTATTATGAATGTAACTCTTTATTTAAAATTAATTTTCATACAATATTTCAAGGGATTATAGATACCCTCGTTGTCAAGTATATATATATATATATATATATATATATATATATATATATATATATATATATATATATATATATATATATTATATATATATATATATATATATATATATATATATATATATATATATATATATATATATATATATATATATATATATATGTTAAAAACAAAATAAAAACAAATTAATTCAACAGTTTCTTTTCATTTAAATACCGAAACATAGGTTTCCAAAAGGAAGTTGTGACGTAACCTCCGTCATCTTGATTTAGACCGCCATCCGAAGGTGAGCATTCATGGCGTTGTATTTCAAGGGCTTTCCTCACTTTTCTGTTAAAATTACTAATTTCTACTTTTAGAGTATTTTTATTGTTCTTTATGAAAAATTGCTATGACAATTTCTGAAATGCTGGGCTATGGCTGAATAATTCCATTTTCCTTTGTATGTATTTTTTTGATGTTGGTAAATGCGAGATGAGATTTTTAATTTTGTTTCACCGATATAACATTTTTTGCAGGAGCGATCAAGTTTGTACACTCCTGGGTAAGAATTTATAGGAAGAGGACGTTTATTTTTTGTGGTAAATATATGTTGTAAATTTTTTGGAGATTTAAAGACTGGTGTATAACCTACTTTTTTGAAATTTTTTTTTAACTTCGGGTTAATTCCTAGAATCCACTGTAAAGACACAATATTATTTTATGTAATTGATGAATGTTGAGTTTCAATATTTCGTTTTTTATTAAGTAATTTTTCATTAGTGGTTTTTATAATATTTTCTAGGCTTGTTTTTTTATAACCATTTTCTACAAAAACATCAACTAGAAATAATAACTTTTGTTCAATATTATTATCAGAGCATAAATATAGTGCCCTATGAACAAAACCTTTGAAAACTCCGTTTATAATTTTTGGATTATGACATGATTTAGGTTTGATTTGGACATTAGTTATGGCATCTTTACAGTAAACTTTAAAATAGTACATACCAGTTTTATTGTTAATAATAATAATGTCAAGAAAGTTTAGCGTGTTATTTTCATTTCAATTTCCATGGTGTACTGAATATTTTTATGTTGGTTATTAAGTATTATTAAAAATTTGTTCGCATTTTCAGTAGAGTTAAAACGAGAATGGGAGTCATCGACATATCTTTTGAATGACTTTAATTAAATATTATTGGAAATCGCTTGTGCAATAGCATTACTTTCGTGAAACTGTAAAAAACACTCCGCAACTACTACCATAAGTCTTAAACCAATAGGTCTAGGATCTTCTAGTTCATAAATGTTGTGCTCAAATAAAAAATAACAATGCAAAAGGCATATATCTAAAAATGCTTTTATTTTATCAAAGGTAAATTTTGATGTAAAACTAGGATCATTTTTCAACCTCTCAATCAGGATAACTATCACTTTCTTTACTAAGACTAAATGATATAAACTAATGATATCATAAGGCACTTTGATTTGATCTTTGTCAATATTCCATGAATTAGCTAAGTTAACAAATTGTTGAGAGTTTTTTAAATGAGTATTGATTTTATTGAGGATGGATTGTATCATATCAGTTAAGAATTTAGAAATTTTGTATGTAACCGTTCCAATAGTATATACGATAACTCGCATCGAGTAGTTTTTTTCAGGTTTGTGGGCTTTTATGACTCCATACAAATGAGGTGGTATAGCATCACTTGGGTAAAGATCTTTATATTCTTTAACTGTTAATCAGCCTGCTTTATTTAGTTTTTTAAGTGTGTTTTATATATACTAAGAAAAACTTTTCTTAACACAACTTAACACTTTTTTTAACACACTCAGAAAACTAAATAAAGCAGGTCGATTAAGTTGATGTTTTTGTAGAAAATGGTTATAAAAAAACAAGCCTAGAAAATATTATAAAAACCACTAAAGAAAATTTACATAATAAAAAACGAAAAATTGAAACTCAACATTCATCAATTACATAAAATAATATTGCATCTTTACCGTAGATTCCAGGAATTAACCCGAAGTTAAAAAAAAACTTCAAAAAAGCAGGTTATACACCAGTCTTTAAATCTCCAAAAAATTTACAACATATATTTACCACAAAAAATAAACGTCCTCTTCCTATAAATTCTTACCCAGGTGTGTACAAACTCTCCTGCAAAAAATGTTATATCGGTGAAACAAAATTAAAAACCTCATCTCGTATTTACCAACATCAAAAAAATACATACAAAGGAAAATGAGATTATTCAGCCATAGCCCAGCATTTCAGAAATTGTCATAGCAGTTTTTCATAGAACAATATTATTTAAAATTTAAAAATAGAAGTTAGTAATTTTAACAGAAAAGTGAGGAAAGCCCTTGAAATACAACGCCATGAATGCTCACCTTCGGATGGCGGTCTAAATCAAGATGACGGAGGTTACGTCACAACTTCCTTTTGGAAACCTATGTTTCGGTATTTAAATGAAAAGAAACTGTTGAATTAATTTGTTTTTATTTTGTTTTTAACATATATATATATATATATATATATATATATATATATATATATATATATATATATTATATATATATATATATATATATATATATATATATATATATATATATATATATATATATATATATATATATATATATATATATATATATATATATATATACTTGACAACGAGGGTATCTATAATCCCTTGAAATATTGTATGAAAATTAATTTTAAATAAAGAGTTACATTCATAATAGAAGTTTTATTTTAATTATTTTTTAACTAAAACTTTTTCTACATGGATATCATTTATTAACTTATAATATTTACATAAAGATCAATTGAAAACATGACTATTTAATTCCAACATGACTATTTAATTCCAATTTACTTAAATATTGTAAACAATCAACTCAAAGCAGAACTTTTAAATTGAAGAGACATGATAATCTAAATCTGGCTAAAATTCTTGGCGGCTTTACATAT